TTATCACCTGTCATTATGTACGGAACTATTTTAAATGCCTACAGTAACTGAAAAGAAGTAATTTTATACAAATAATAGAGTCACCGGTGAAGCGACCGTCAAATCCGTTGTTTCAGTCAGAGGTTGTTATTGCGATTTGAGACCTGTTGATACATTTCACACACCAATCACACATGCCCTGATATGTGTCTTCGTTTACTTGCCAGATTGTAATCATATACCATTTTAGATATGATGACCTTTCCAAAGCATTTGGCTCAAACTACCATCAAGCTGTCCAACATTATTTGGACCATCAGAATGAGAAAAGGCTGGGGTATGTCGAGGGAGGCTATAACGGAAGGTGGACCATATCAAATCAACACCATGACCTCTTCATCAGTGCCTCTGCTAGGATGGGAGGAGCGATTGACAGTCTGGTCTGGGACAACAAGGAGTTCATCAATGCATGGGATCATGGCAGAGAGCTTCAGATGGCGACCAACACTCACCCATACGGGGAGGTGTTTCAACCCTACCGAAGCTGGAGGAAGAGATGACGGCACAGGACCAGCCACAACGTCCACGATTATGAACGTGACAGCATCTGCTAACATTCTGAAAACAACAGTGAGTAGGCATCGAGTATTTTCATTGCCCCAACGAAGACATACATTAAGCGTGTGTGCCCTGTAACCTGTTGATGTCAGCTCGTAAATATCATCAGGCGCGGGGAAGGAACAGTATATTTATTTAACATTTTAATTTAAAAAGTATTGCAACGTGCATTTGGTGTTGATCGTCAAACATTTGACTGTTCAACCATAGAGACCGATGCATGTAAGAGCAAGTGAGTGAGTGCGTGAGTGAAGGAATGAGCGAGAGTGTGTTGTATAAATCCACTTTTAACAGTATTTTAGTAACTGTTATATTACGACGTCTTGGCTTTGTGTGGGAGGAAAGCACAAGGAAAGTTGAGTCGTGATCCGGTTTGGTGAAAATAACGTGATGGTAATTCTAACTGGTGGTGTGGTGATGGTAGTTCTAATCTTGACGTGAACCAAAGCTCAGCTATGGCCACAAGGGGCGTAAACTACAAAGCCACAGAGGACTTTGTTCTTTGGTCAAGGCTACAACAGTCAAGGCCTCAACAAAGCTTTCAAAAAGGTTTATGGTACACACGGGGAGGACATTTCCTATTTTGATGCATCAGTGACAAAATATGGTGTTAAATGCAATTCCCTTTTTTCCCATGTCTTTTGGTGAACAATTGACTTGCCTGTACATGTGTTTGTGACGGGTGCCACAGCTAAGGCACGATAGGCTTTTTCATGAACACCTGGTATTATCACCACTTGATAGTGATGCATAGAAACATGCTTATGATATCGTCGGAATCGTACAATGGACTTTTAGTGGAGAACTCTTATTATTATGAAAATCGTGTATGTCTCTTTTAAATTATATATGTGCCTCTTACATTCTTAAATATCAACAATAAATCTGCCTTTACTTAGAACCACCCTGCCTTCTGGCTTCGTCACGGTGACCACGAGACTCAACAGTTACCAAGTTCTGGGTGTACAGGAAACTCCCATGCATTAAATCTCGTGGACAGATATGACTACGATTTTTCCAAGACTGTGACAATTGGCTGTGCTGCTCTGACCCAGTGTATCAAATACGAGTCAACCTTCACCATTGGTGGCCTGTGGCCGAAGGGATATATCTTTCACAATTTCGAAGCTCCAACTGGATACTTGACAGGAGAGTTCAGTATCATAAAGAGTCTCAACTTGGCAAGCGGTCAGTTAGAACCTTACAATAACCGTTACCCCATCATCCTCTCAACAGTCGACTATAAACATGCAATGGGGGCCTACTCACCAGCGGGTCAAGACACAGATCTATATCAGTACTACAGTGGACACTGGTTTGGAAATGCCTTCGCAAGTGGAACAAGTAAATGGGGATCCGTGTTCCGAAAGAACGCTTTTCCGAACGGTAGTCGGCATAAGGTTACCTATATCACCTACATATGTGTTGGAACTTTAGATCAGGTAACTGAATGCGTAAGAAAGCTTCACGTCTCATCGGGGTAGCTGTCATCTATTATCCGTAATATTCAACATAGTTAATAATATTAAATTCGAGCCCACGTATACTGATTTACTGCGTTCTACATGATTGTTGCAGTGTAAATACCAAATGTGACGTCATTAATGATTTCACAACAGTAATGACATTGCAAGGGGTCCTGGTTGACGTCATGTCGACACGTTTAGCTACTCGACATAATTTGCATTCGTGTGCGTATTCAACTGGGCCCCGTTCCACGGAGCGATCTTGGTCTACGTTACAGTGTGGGAGTCACGATCATCGTAACGCTAAGACCTTGATGTAATGAAACTGTAATCAGAAGGCATGCATCACAGTAGTTGACCCCATCGAAGCACAACCAAATATATCGGAATTTGTCTCGCGCTTAAGTCTTTGATTAGCATTAAGAAGTTTGAAAAACATGAATACATGACACGTATTGACTACTTTTTTATTCCTTGCAACGACGTTTCAGGGCTACATCTTTCCCCTTCCCCGCGTTAATACTGATTAATAAGTTAATAGATATATTATATACATACTGATATATGGACATCATCCTTAAATTGTTATCTTGGTAAATTAATTTGTTATCTTTGTACATTAATCCTGCCCCGTGACGATTCCGGGTTAGAATTGGTTTTCAGCAACCCATGCTTGTCGTAAGAGACGACTAGCGTGATCGAATGGTCAGGCTCGCTGACTTGGCTGATTCATGTCATCGTTCAAGAACTGGTTAGTCTGGTTCAGACTCGATTAATTACAGACCGCCGTCATATGGCTGGAATATTGGTAACTGCGGCGTTAAACAACACACAAACAAACAACAACATTATTCCTTCCCAATAAGGGACTAAATATTTGATATTTAAGAGAACTGGGACTCTCGAAAAAAATAAGTTGTCGCCCAAAATTAAAAAAAAAATGTTTTCAGGCTTACAGGTTTAAATAAAGATAATTATCTGGTTTTATAACTGTATCTGTAAAAATCGAATATTGATACAAAATCCCTGCACCCTACCCTACCCTAAGGTCACCCGTGCCTTCAGGAAGTGTCAGGTGTTAATCTACAGTTTACTAATATCCCTTTGTTATGTTTTGCTTGTACACATGTACCTGTATATGTACTGTCAATACACTACAGGTACATTTACCCGTATAGGACCTTGGTTGATCACGTTGTTTATGACAGACCGACGTGTTTAATCAGAATCAACTTGTCTGGCTGTGTTTTATGGGAAATGCTTCTTGGTAAAGAGGAAATACCTTAACTAAAAATGCACATTCATTCTGAACAGCATCAATTATCCTATCATCCAAAGTTATCTAGTGCCATCTCCCGACCTGGTGTTAAGTTCCGGGTGGTTAGTAATGTAAAACAAACGACGGGAGACACCTGGACGTGCTTAATCTACACCTAGTCACAGGTGGATGAACGTCAAATGTATTGAGGTATGGCCGCCGTTTGAAAGAAGGGGATAGATCAAAAGATTTTTAAAAACTGAAAGGTAAGCTCTAAAGAAAACTATTAAAACACCGTAAAGATGGGAATGTCTCTATTGTGCGTACTGCACCTGTCATTTAAATGACAAAACGGTGAGCTGAGGTGAAATGGGGTTTAACGTCGCGTTGAAGATTATTACACTATTGTGTCCGGACTTTATAGTACCAGGCCACTGAGATACCATGCCGCAGTTTAACAGGAATACCCCACTCAGACACAGTATTCTGACTCCGAGCCGACCAGTCCTTGTTTACCCCCTCAATGCCGAGCGCCAGACAGGGTAACAAGAAGTACCATATTTTAACGTCTTTTGGTATGACGCGGTCGGGGTGCGAACCCCCGACCTTCCGCTCTCCGGGCAGACGCTCCACAACTAGACCACGGAGGCGGTAAATGTTATTACGAATGACACCACTAACATCATAATAAAATTTCCTCCATTTATACAGTGCAGTTGCACGATTATACAGTGCGGCTTTTAGGGCTCACAAAATGCCCATGGCAAATAGTGTTACAAGTGTCTCATAACACATCACAGAATATACGTAAAGGGTTTCATGAACACATCACACAAAACACGTAGATAGTTTCACGAACACATCACACAATACATGTGAATGGTTTCACGAACACATCATACATGGATGGTTTCACGCACACATCACACAATATAAGTGGAGGGTTTCACGATCACATCACAGAATTCACATGGAGGGTTTCATGAACACATCATACATGGAGGGTTACACACACATCACACATGGATGGCTTCACGCATTAGTCACACAATACACGTGGATGGTTTAACGAACACATCACACAATATACACGTGGAGGATTTCACGAACACCTCACACATAGATGGCTTCACACATTCGTCACACAATACACATGGAGGGTTACACGAACACGTCGCACAATACACATGGAGGGTTACACGAACACGTCGCACAATACACATGAGTCCTCACTTATAATTACACATTTTATTTTTGTTGGGTGCATTACTTTTATGAAACTAAATTCTTTCACTCGCCAATGTTGATACCGTTTTACTTAATTCCATTAAATAAAGGCGTCGCATTATCACTGAGTCTAGATGATGGAAGCATCTGCATTGTAGAAATGGATCAAACATGATGAGTGATAATGTTGTTTTACGCCACAGTCAGCAATATTTCAATTATATTACGCGGTCTATAGATAACGGACTGTAGACTAAACAAAGCAATAGGGCAATAGGGCAATAGAATGGGCGAAACTCCCATGCCGTCGATGAAGCCTGGTCACCTGATCCATCTAAATCGCCTCTTACCACACACAATGTATTTATAAATACTTTTATCTGCTAATGTATTTTTAATCTGACGCCTTTGTTACACAAAAAATCTAATCTCTCAAAATGTCATGTTCATGTCATGGCAAGTGATCTAACCAGGTGGCATACCTTATAAAAACAGTTCAAGACAAGGAATTATACAGATAGACATCACAATGTTGCTCATTGTGACTATCCTCCCAGCAGTATTCTGTTTTGTTGGTATGTATGAATACGTATTGTATGCTAGAGTATCGTTATGGATACACATTCGTCTCATAAGTTTTTCTTTAAAGCGTGTGTGGGGTTGATTCCATCTGGAGAATAAGGTCTGAGTGTTGTCCAGACCTGTATGTATTGTTTTGGCAAGGGAAGCAGCTCAGTTCTGTCACCTCGATTCCAAAATTCCTGCGATGGTACTCCGTTTTCCGTCTTGTGTGAAGATGGTCAAAAACAACAGGGTGTATGAAATATACACACCTACACAATGGCGTCGCTAAACTTTCTGACTTGTGAACTTGTCGTTCTGGTTCGTTTTCAAGGTAGAAATAGAGATATGCTGTTTTGCATGCAGAGCTCACTCGTACCGAAATATAGAAACGTCGACTCTAGCTAACTGATTGATTAGAAAGTTCACAGGGTGCCAACTTCTGTGCAAGTGACCTTCACGCAGAGATGTATCGTATCGGAATTCAAGATCTGATTTTAATGGGCGTGAAGCGAAATCACTCACTTTACAGTACGAAATAACGTATTTATTATTTATTATGTCACTTAAACTACAGGAGGTTTTGATGTCCTTTGAATGCAGAGTTGAAATGGGTCTCTCCCTTGTAACTTTATTTTGTTCTACGCCATTCTACTATTACAATTGTTTTAAGGGAGCTTCTGAATAATGCTCAACCAGACACAGTCGGCCAAATCAGGCCGCGCGTTGTAATATAATGCGACCTAATTTTAGTTGTCGTTTTGGGAAAGGGGGCATGGCTGGTTGTAACCTTGACCAAACAACTTTTGAACAATAGTGTTATATGTGAAATCATCATAGCATGTTCGATTGTAACTTTGTTAAAGTTGTGAAATGTGGACACCAAAGGCTGGTGCTGAAATATTGCTCAACAAAAAGGGAAGTTGACTATTAAAAAGTTAAAGTCATCCCTCTTGTACTATATTCTTGTATAGAGTGTTTTGTCACTCTGAATTAACGAATGTCTGTATCCCAATACATTTTAGACTTTACACTCCAGATGCTGCTGTGGACCTGGCGTCACCCTTGGTGTTTGACCCAACATTCTATGTCAACACTCACGCTGACCTTCACCAGATGGGCATCAACTCTAAAGCTGCCGCTAAACAACACTGGCTTTCAAAGGGGATCAGCGAGGGAAGGCAGGGTTGTGGTAGCTTCCACTCGAAACAGTATCTTAAAAGGTATACGCTACCGTATCAATCTTGTCTACGAGGTGACTAAGTGATCAGATATCCAAACTGCCTGGATCGATGTTGTTCAAAATATCAGTCACTGGATTGCCAGGTCCATACTCCATTATTAATATCTAGAATAGTGTTGTGTGAGGTGAGGTGAAATTGGGTTTAGCGTCGCGTCCAAGATTATTGCACTTACATAGCGCCGTGCATGGACGTGTGTGTGTGTGTGTGTGTGTGTGTGTGTGTGTGTGTGTGTGTGTGTGTGTGTGTGTATGTGTGTGTGTGTGTACTTGTCCTAACAAATGCTCATTTATAGTGCTAGCTCAGTGAGATACCCTATAACATGAATACCCCACTCAGACACAGTATACTGACCACGAGCCGACCAGTCCTTGTTTTAGCCCCTTAATGCCAAGCGCCAGGCAGGGTAACAAAAAGTACCATCTTTAAACGTTTGGTCGCCTGACGCAGTCGGGGATAGAACTCACGACCTTCCACTCTCCAGACGCTCTACCACTAGACCACGTAGGCGGTCAAATAATGTAATGACATATATTGACACATTTGATGTTCCATAACCATTTCTATAAAACAAAAATTGTTCTTCCAATAACTACTTAATAACTGGCAGTCATGCATAGGCAGTTAAACGTGTGTAGTGGTATACAGATCCCACTATGAGTATGTACAGAAAAAGGTGACATGTCTGCAGTGCAAATTCCTAGGACATTTCTTTGCCCATACTTTCCAAATGATAACGCAATGCAGTTTAGGTGAGTAAGTTTGTAAACATTTTAGACACTATATTCCATTTCAAACACTGGGGAGGATTTCAATGATTGTAGGTCAGTATCAGGGTCAGTTTACTGTGTCTGAGTGGAGGATTTCAATGACTGTACATCTTCTGGATTGTGTGAAATTGGCGTCCATTGGTTTTTACATGAGTAACACGATGAGGACAAGATATCATATAATGACACGTTTGAAGCAGATTAAGATTTCTTATGGATGAGGAAAGGGATTTGTCGCTTTTAAATGATAAAATTTAGCATTTCTCTTCCAACAACTGATTGTGTTATATAAGGACTCACACAGATGAAGAAGACGTCATCAACTGTTCATTCTGATTTGAGTTCAGGAAACTTATTTTTCTCTCAGAAACAAGACCACGGATAATAAAAAAACAATAAACTGTTCGGAATTCCGGATTATCTGTCGTGACTTAATGTTGAGAGTACCTTATACCCAGATCGGAAACGTAGTTAGTTTGCTCATGAAAATCCGTAATGTCTAGTTGCTGGTAGGTTAGTCCATACCTCTTTATGCCGCTTTTAGCAATATTATAGCCATTTCACAATGTGACACAGAACTGTGCCTCACATGCATCCATGTTATGAATCAAACGCAGGTCTTCGGTGTGACGAGTGAATGCTTTAACCATGAGGTTACCCCTATATGCCTCAGATTTTTAATTTTTTTCTTCAAAATTTTAATTTTCAGATATGCTGACCTTTCCAAAGCGTTTGGAACCAACTATCATCAAGCTATTAACCACTACTTGACACATCAGAGTGAGAAAAAGCTGGGGTATGTCGAGGGAGGCTATAACGGAAGGTGGACCATATCAAATCAACACCATGACCTCTTCATCAGTGCCTCTGCTAGGATGGGAGGAGCGATTGACAGTCTGGTCTGGGACAACAAGGAATTCATTAATGCATGGGATCATGGCAGAGAGCTTCAGATGGTGACCAACGTTCACCCATACGGGGAGTGTTTCAACCCTACCGAAGCTGGAGGAAGAGATGACGGCAAAAGATCGAGCACGACGTCCAAGATAATAAGTGTAACAGCACAAAGGAATATCTTAAAAACGACAGTATGTATTACTGTTAACATATTTGAATACGATTTTAAAAGACGACTTGTGCATGCTATTTAGTAACCATGTAAACTATTACTCATATACTATTCTATATACCATTTATTGACGAAATTTGAACAGTTGTGGTGGATTTTGTTGTATGTTCATGAAGGCCATTTCACATGACGTTTACAGGTATCTTAGATTACACAAACATATTCATGTTTTCAAAGTCAACAGAGAAGAACATAACAAGTCATATAACTACTGATTGGCGTTAAAATGTATAATATCTATAATCTGGTCAACAGTTTTCCAAAGCTTTAAGTGGGTATGGGTAGCCAAGCCGTCTAGGTTCCGCAATCCACTGAGCACAGCTGCAGCTGTCAGGCGTGTGAGAAATGTATGATCGTGGATTCGAATTCCATATTCGCCCTGATTAGGTTTCGAGGTTTGTCAACACCATATCGTGCTCGTGGGTTTCACCAAAGTGGTAATCACACCTGACCCATGCATAACCTCGCTACTTTCTTCCAAGGTAAACAGACACAACGTGCTATAACTCAGTATCAGTTTGAACCAAACTAAAAAATACAAATATTTAAATAAATGACATCACGAGCTGAAGGCTTATTCTTGGTTGTTTTTTTCAGAATCACCCAGCTTTCTGGCTTCGTCACGGTGACCACGGGTCGGCAGCCTCGAAGAATCCTTCATGCTTACCAGGTGTACCTACAAAAAACACTGTGGACACTTACGAATACGACTTCTCAAAGAATGTGACAATAGGTTGTGCTGAAATGTCTCATTGCATCAAATATGAGTCAATGTTCACTATTGGTGGCCATTGGCCAGCTGGGTCTGTTTCACATAATATTGCAGCTCCAACTGGTTATTTGACAGGAGAGTTCCAAATCCTTAAAAGTCTCAATTTGGGTAATGGCCAGATACAACCGTACAGCAGCAAACACCCTGTTGTTCTTGCAACATCAGATCACAGGCATGCAATGGGAGTCTACTCTCCAGAGGGCCAAGACACAGATGCTCACTTTTATAATGGGGCACGTTTCGGAAGTGCCTTTGGTAGTGGAACCAGTAAATGGGGATCGGGGTTCCGCAAGAAGGCTTTCCCAAATGGAAGCTTGCACAAGTTATCCTACGTCACCTACATCTGCGTCGGAAATCTTGACCAGGTCACTCAATGCGTAAGAAAGCTTCACGCCACATATCCCAGAGTTTAGTAATTCTTGTTAACCACACTGAATAAACTATTTCACCAGATTTTTAAATTAGTTTTCCGTAGAGAAGATCTTATTTTCCAAGACATGATGGAAAGATAGCTGCACTTCATACATGAGTTTGGTTTGATTTTATCTCGTTTTAGTACTGTTCCATGCCATATCATGCCATGACAGATTAACTATAGACATATGATTGGTTGGTTGGTTTGTTGTTTAACGCCGCACTCAGCAATATTCCAGCTTTATGATGGCGGTCTATAAATAATCGAGTCCGGACCAGACAATCCAGTGATTAATATCATGAGCATCGATCCACGCAATTGGGATCGATGACATGCATCAACCAAGTCAGAGAGCCTGACCCCCCGATCCCGTTAGTCGCCTTTTACGACAAGCATAGTCACCCTTTACGGCAAGCATGGGATCTTCACGGGTCTATAGAAATATGAAGGAATCGGATTGTCTTTAACCTCTTCTGAGTCGTACATTACGGTGGGGAACCTACCACCTTGCATGTCATTCAATCCATCAGTTCTGTCCGCATTAAGGGTTAAACGCCCTCACGTTGTTGACATACTTTAGTCATATTCTCCAAGGTTTACTGGAGCATATCTGATTTATATGTCATTTATATGTCACAAGTAGATCGGTTTGAAGATGTGTCGACTTTGGTTAGGACAGATTACTGATGTTGAAGTTTGCATTAGTGTAGGATCCAGTGAACTGTGCTGTTCTGCTTTAATCTGGAAAAGACCACTTAAAGATATTAGCTGTATATACATATCCGAGTTCATGTCATTCATGTGTTTTCTTTCTAAGTCATCTTCTGGAAACATCTTCTCTGAAACTTTAAATACCATTTGTGATTTGGCCGGTCGTGAAAGACAATTTATAGATTTCTATCTCAATGAAAGAATGAAGCAACGTCGGAATCACGTCTTGCTTTACACTGACAGTGAGTTGGATTTGACGACGCTGTTAGTATTATTCAAGTAATATCATGGCGGGGAACACCAGAAACTGACTTCACACATTGTAAGCACGGCAGAGAGGCATGGGCGACGATTACACTTGTCACCACTGCGCTTTGCGTTGATGGTTACAGAGAAGGATCTCAGCGAGAAATGCCAGAGTGACTTCCCTTTTGTTTAACAGTCAACGACTTATATCTTTCCGTTGTTATTTTCAAGACGCTCACAATACGAACTTGTACTATGATTTTAATATAAATAAACATATTATTTGTCGGAACTGCTTATGCATTAGGCCTGCGGTAACAAATAAAGCATTTGTAAATGTATTCACATTTTGTTTTTCAACATTGGGACTTTGAAAGAGCGGCGCAACCGTAAACCAAGAACAGAAATGTCGCCTGAGGGAGTAATCCCATTGATGCAAGAAACTGAGGACCTTAGGTATTTTCTCCCCAACTGAATTTAACCTTCTGCCAGACTGACGGGGCTGACGGGACCAATGCAGTTGTGAAGTTGTGAACAGGGGACTTCCATGTTAGCAAATTCTGGTTTACATCTATCAATCTGTTCCACTAGACCACTCTAGATCTGACAATCCATTTCATTTCAATATTGGTAATTTCGTTTGTTTGTCAGGTATTTATCCCGAACATGACACGAAGCGATGTTACGTGTACGTACCTTTGAGGATGTCTAAGAACAAACATCTTTCACTTTGTAATATCACTCTTGATAGCTGTGTGCATGAGGAAGTGATATAATATGGATCTGGATTTAAGTACTTCATTTCTTCATATTCATTTATGAAAATATTTTAAATTTCAATAGCGGAAGGTCCGGGGTTCGATTCCCGGCTGTGTCATACCAAGAGACGTTTAAAGATGGTCCCCCTTAAGCTTGTTACCTTGTCTTGCGCTCGGCATTAACGGGCTAAAACAAGGCCTGGTCGGCTCGGATTCATTATACCGTGAGTGGAGTATTCATGTTAAACTGCGGCATGGTATCTCAGTGAGCTGGCACTATAAATCGGCTTAAAACCGGACTACTACAAACTGCCACACATCCACGTGCATATACGTCGCTATATAAGTGCAATTTAAACTTGGACGCGATGTTAACTCCCATTTCACCTCACCTCTTTTGAAAGCTAAGTATTCATATCTGCGGTGTGACATACATGTATGTTGTCATTGAATGACATCTGGCGAGGTGTTTGTTGGGACGCCATCATCAGGAATACAATAATGAACTAAACAAATTAGCATCAAACATGCTTTGCTGATAAAAAAGATAAAATAAGATACAAATACGCCTTGTGACTACAGCTATAAACGAACCTGGTTTATACGTTTTGTCATTAACATAGTTAGCATAACTTGACCTCAGTTCTAGGTTTAAATAGATATCTTTATTTAATATGCCTCAAAGTCAGATTGACCAATCAGAGAGCAGAACCTCTAACCCTTCTAACCGTCAGTAAAAATCCAAGATGGTTGTTACTGACCTAATATGAGACCGTATACCGTCAGTAACAACCATTTTGGATTTTCCATAACCCACTTCACATATTTCACATGAAAATTCTGGTACAGAAATTCGTTGTTCGACACGGTTTTGTGTTTTACTATCATTAATTTTTATGTGCAAGGTGAATTTAATAAAGATTTTATAAAGTTAAAATTATCCACAAGGTATGGACACTGAGGTTTGAAGAGTAGTCTCCCTTCAACCCTTAACGCCTCAGGTTGTAAGTGTTAAGTTTTGAGTTTTAAGCTTGGACATGACATGTGCGACAAAGATACCAAATAGTGTAAAGTTTTCGTTATAATAAATTCGTTATGGTGTCTTTAGTTGCCGTATACGGCGTCATATTATCCTTATATATGTACCTTTCTCTACAGTTGCTCAATATAAATATTATTTAAGACTGTTCATGCAACATGCTGTGACTCGTGCCTTAATCGCAACTGATCCCGGTAGAAAATGTCTTCAGCAACCCATGCTTATCGTGAGAGGTGACTAACATGATCGGATGGTCAGGCTTGCTGACTTGTTTGATGCATGTCATCGTATCCCGATTGCGTAAATCGATGCTCATGATGTCAGTCACTGGATTGTCTGGTCCAGAATCGATTTCGTACAGACCGCCGTTATATAGCTGGACTATTACTGAATGCGGCGTTAGGCAACAAACAAACAAACAAAAAAACTTTTCACCGGACACATAAACATACAAATTGAATGTGTTTAGATTGGGCTGTACATGTTGGTGAACACGTGATCAACTTTATTCGTAGCCATGGGAAATTCGTACAAACTACCAACTCGTGGTAAAAAAAATAAAATTGGGAAAACGACCTGAATATTGATTTATTACTACACATATTGAATTATTAAATGATAAATGTTTTTTAAATCTTAAAATCTATTGAAGATGAAAAGCGCTTACTAATATGTTGTCCTTTTTATGAAGATTTAAGAGATGAATTATTTTATGAAGCTTCAAATGTTTCCCAGAGTTTTTATACCCTTGATGATATGCATAAGTTATGTTTTATATTGAAATCGGACGATTTACAGTAGCATTTATCTAAGACCCTCTTAGTAATGTATAAACGATTATTATCTTATATATGAATTGTCTTTAACAATACTTATGCAGTGCTGAAATTGTCACAGCTTCATACTTTTCATAAATTATAACTGTATATGTTTTATATGTTTTCGCCCTGTCTCATAAGCCCTATGGCTGCGCCTTGTATTCTTTACTTATGGTCAGGCTCGCTGACTTGGTTGATGCATGGCATCGATCCCAATTGCGTGGATAGATGCTCATGTTGTCAGTCACTGGATTGTCTGGTCCAGACTCGATTATTTACAGACCGCCGTCATATAGCTTGAATATTGCTGAGTGCGGCGTGAAACAACAAACAAAAACTTATACTTTGAATTTGTATATATTATAATTATATTAATAAACTATTTTTATTCTCTCTCTCTTAAACTTTAAATGATAATGTGATGCATTTTTACTTGACTTATATTTTACAAGCGCTTCACATTCTCTTTATTATTATATTTTAATGCGACAAATTGATATTCTGATGGATAATTATATACATCTTGTGTGTATATATATATATATATATATATATATATATATATATATATATATATATATATAGCTATAGATATAGATATGTAGATATTAAGTGCAATGATCTTGATCGTGACGATCGATAAACCCTTTCCACATCAATCCAGTAGTGATCACAGGAATCAGTATATATTGTCTCTACAGATCAATGATCCAAACTTAAAGAAACTAAAAAGTTGTACAAGTATGTACAGAGTGGTAGGACGTTATATGAAATCAAAACTAATGACAGAACACAAGCACATGTGAATGTGACATGGCTAAAGCATTAAATGTTTCATATATTTCCAAAATTGCTGTCATCAGACTGGGGCAGATATATTTAATGTGTCATGCATTTTAAAAGTTGCTATCATCAGAGTAGGGCTGAGATATTTAATGTGTCATGTATTTCAAAAGTTGCTATCATCAGACTAGGGCTGAAATATATAGTGTGTCATGTATTTCAAAAGTTGCTATCATCAGACTAGCGCTGAGATATTTAATGTGTCCTGTGTTTCAAAAGTTTCTATCATCAGACCAGCGCTGAGATATTTAATGTGTCACGTATTTCGAAATTGCTATCATAATTAGACATTTAATCACCATCTTCCTGTAGAGACTGGCCGTTGTAATGGTAAAGTTAAGAAAGGACTTTTCAAATGTAACACCTTTTGAAATTCTAGATCAAAATATATCCCATCTAATTATTTTGGCCTAACCTGTATAAATACAAGAAACAGCTATAAATATGTCCATGTTAAAAAAACCATGTTACAATTACTTACAATAGTATATTTTACTATGAGAACAAAAACGACAACAAAATGTCCATACTCAAAACAATGCCGACTATATCATGTGTTTATGAATTACTAATACATAGTTATGACACCAGGGTTTCGTTAAATGTAAAACGTAACCGATACTGCAATCTTGTCTTCGAATGTTTCGTAATTGTTGCAAATATATGCTCTTAAAGCTTGTACCACCGCCGGCAGTGATTTGTGCAATAAATAATAGATTGAAAAAATGTATGTTTATAGGGTAACCCACACGAAGCTGTCCGAAGAAAAAGTCATGTTCAATTCTATGGCTAAATTAATAATATGAATCAAAATATTAACTTAAAACTGCACAGCATTTAGTTAACACTCGCATCACTTGTATCAAGCGTCAAAATGCACTGAGAGACTGAGAGAATTGTAGTTTGGCAGAATATGAAAACCAAGATAAAAAACCTATGTTAAGTGATAAAATATAAGTTGGCCGTTGTTAAAGATATGTGAAACAAGGTTCATAGTATTGGAAGAAGTGCTACAGTCTCCTGTATCGTTGCTGATAGTATGAGGCGCTGGTGAAACATGGAGAATCAACAACGGAGTTATATTTGTGTCAGCCGAGTGCGATGTGTACTGTATTTGTTACAAACGCTTAACACAACAACCGTACACACAATAACAATATTATTACTAACTCCATGTTTTGCTTCCGACAATTACTCGTTGGTTTCACCAAAGGGGTAATTGTCTAAGACCCGCATCACTTCGAGCTTTCCTCCCACAGTAAGCTGACATAACTGGAATACTGTTCAAAGCGGCGTTAAAACCAATTCACTCAGTCCGTACAAAAAACATCACGCATGTGAACATATGTTACGATTTTCATCATGACAATTAAAAAGAACAAACCTGAAACTACATAAAGTTACATAAAGCATACATTACATTGAGCTGTACACGGATATGGCTGCAGTACATTACAAGCATGTGATACACGAATTTCTTTTAGAAAGACAATTACATTATGAAACGGTAAAACTGACTGATTGACAAATGTGACAAGGTAATTGCGTCTAATTGATGGTTGATGAAGATAATGTCAGTTTGAAAGGCAACACGTGTCACAGATAAGCGTTAACGTTTCATCAGTACAAAACGGTTTCAGTATAAATATAGGCGTTACCTTCAGACAAGTATTCACACATGTACATGACATACAGGCGCTGTTGCATTTAACAGTCAGTAAGTATATTCTTGATTTGAGGTCATTGCGGGGGATTCGGGGTCGATGGTAGTGGGTACCAGTCCCCGAAATGATCTTTGACAGCACTATAGGCATTCCTTCGAAAGAGCGTTGGCAGCGGTTCAGAGAATGAGGTGAGGTGAGGTGAAATGGGGTTTAACGTCGCGTCCAATAATATTGCACTTATGTAGCGACGTGTGTGTGTTTGTGTAGCTGCTTGTACTAGTCCGGACTGATGCCGATTTATAGTGTTAGCTCACTGAGATACCATGCCGCAGTTTAACATGAATACCCCACTCAGACACAGTATACTGACTCCGAGCCGACCAGTCCTTGTTTTAGCCCCTTAATGCCGAGCGCCAGACAGGGTAACAACAAGTACCATCTTTTAACGACTTTTGGTATGACGCGGCCGGGATCTCCGCATTCCCGCTTTGGCCCTCGCTACTTGAACTAGAATCCCTAACTTTCGCGTTGATTAATTAACGAAGATAGCTGCGTGTGTACTAATACTTTAAATTGAAAACAAGCTATTCCACCTATAAGGAAAATTACTAACAGTAGCGACAAAAATTGCAAAGTACATTTTTCAAGATAAGTCGATCTTGTTAGCGATAAACATCATTATTGATTTTAATAGTGATTCATAAACACCTTTTCATGCACGTACAATCGCGTTAAACACCACGGGGCACGTGTGCCCCAGTCGTCTAAGCAATTCTCTGTTCGGAAATCCTTCGGTGCGCCAGACACCTATGATTGTGGGTTCGAATCCCCGTCCGCCCGGATTATGTTCCCAGGTTTGTCAGCACCATACCCGTGCACGTTGACTTCACCGAAGTGGTAAACGTCAACAACATCTGCACGGATTGTTTTCAGTTCGTGTTGTGGGCTTTCTATCTTCAGAAAGCTAAAAAACATGAATTACTGAAATACGGTTCGAAGCATCTGAAATTATTCATCATACTCACCCTACGCAGTCATCTGGTGCTTATTATCAATGTCATCATTTAGATACAAATGTCCAGTTTCGTGACATCAATGTTCCATAAGGAACAACTCAATCTTGTATCACGTCGCTATATAAGTGCAATAATATTGGACGCGACGTTAAACCCAATTTCACCTCACCTCAATCTTGTATCTCTGTTACATAAAATGACCAAAAACGTAGAAACGAAAAATTCAAGCAAAAATAAAATATATGATTGAATAAACAATTGGTTATCGTTTCAATTGATTAAATATGCACTTAGAAGCTATTTGTCAGTTTTACTCAATGTTTCGAATCAATACGTTTTGTCACATATATGGACGCTTTAGCATTGCTCATACATGTAATGTCGTATGCAGATTGTTAAAATTAGAGGCCCAGCGGTATAAAGCGCTACAATTCACTGAGTTGCTCTGTAAAGATATCGGGTCTAATCCCGATTGTAACCTTGGTTTGTCAACACCATACCCATACTCGTTGGCATTACCAAAGAAATATATGTCTACGCTCTTCACAGTGACCTTAATCCAAATCATTCACTAAAGCACACCCTTCTCATACATAACACATACTACCTAACATGCTTAATCTACTTTTCAGTATTATTCTACAGCTATGTATGCATCTGTCTGTGTTACCCTCGCAGCCCTCGTGGGGTCAACCTTTGCTCAAAATGGCAACGGCATGGGATTCGTAAGTTATTCAATTCTTTTACCGTATTCGACATACATGTAATAAGTGCCCAGGGCGCTCTTAAACTGAGAAATATGGGGCTCTTATCAGAATATTATTTAATGAAAAATTACAGAGTTGAAAGATCGTACACTTCGTGGTTTATGCTGACAGCCTGAAATGTTTATATACGACAGATATATTTTTCCAGAATTTAATTTCCTATAATTAAGGATGCATATAACACACGTACTATACAAAAATATATACGTCTTGTGTACATTGATCAATCGGAAGGGGTGCTAATTGGAATTGTTCACTAGCCAATATATTAGCAAATATCGCCATGGGCGCTTATTACGTCGAATACGGTAAGCATAATTCCTGTTTCCAGCCTTGACATATTGCTGTTGTTTGTTAATAAACGCGACATACAGCGGAATTCCAGCTATATCACGATAATCGAACCTGGACCAGTCACTGACTGATAAAAGCGACGTAGGGTACGATTTCACTCAACCCCAACCCCAAGTAGCCGAGCCTGACAATTTGATTCATTTGGTCACCTCTTATAACCAGTATTGGTGGCTGGAGATCTGTATGAACCCAGATTCCCCAAGGGAACAGGATTTTGTGTTGTCTAAATTTATTTATCGCTAATATATACTTTGTTCTTGTCACAATATGGCTGACAAAGTCCCGATGTGACTTTAAACTCACTCATATGTTTAGAACGAAGAACGTTAATAAAACCTATCATTTCAGTGTCTGAATCAAGGTCAAACTTGCAACTTGGCTGGAGGTAGAAGTTGTTGTACAGGTTTCTCCTGTCAGAATTCTATGGGGAACATGCGAACATGTCAGAGAAACATCAATGGAGGAAATCTGGTAAGACCTCTCACTGGTTGTCCAACCTACTTGAACATAACGATCTTCCTATTAATAATGATAAAAAGTCGGATTAACTATCGGATTAACAATGGTGTGTAAGCCTATTGAAAGAATGTTTAGTTGAAACAAAATGTAGCATCGGCGTTTCCTTAAATGGATTTGCCAAGTTTAAAACATACCGTTTACATTTGTATTGAAATGAAAGTGTACCACTTGGTGGTACACTGAAACATACAACTAAACCATGTTACTTCGGAAAACCTACAGACTTGTTATATACTGTTGATAACGGTTATCGCGATAATTCAATAATACTCCATATTGATTATACTGCAATATCATTTGATCGACGAGAAGTATTGCCATTCATGTCTTTACCATTTCAGTGTCTGAATCAAGGTCAGACTTGCAACTTGGCAGGAACTAGAAGTTGTTGCACAGGATTCTCCTGTCAGTCTTCTGTCGGAAACATTCGCACATGTCAGAGAAACATGAATGGAGGAAACAATATGGTAGGACATCGGACTGGTTGTCAAGAATAGCTCCTTTTTGCTGATAATAATTTCATTGCTACAAATATGATAAGTTTATATAGAAGTATTGAGGTAACAGTAGTGTGTAAGCTAACTGAAGGATATTAGATTACACATTTTAAAATAGTAACATCCTTGTTGCCTTTAACCAGATGTGCTAAAGTTTATGACAAAAGGTTGACATTTGTATCCGCTCTGTACACTGATATGAATACGACTCAACGTTGTAGTCCGCGACGTATGCGAGGAAAAAGGATATTTGAAGTTTGAAATTACATAGATAAGAAATAAATATATTCAACTTAATCACTCTTTATTTCTAAAATGCTTTACCTGATGTCACTCATGTGTGGATAATTATATGAAATCTACTCGTAGTTTTTGAATTATGAAATAATGCAGATACGTTAATTCGAGGGTTTCATTCTTGCAAAAAAAAGTTATTTCACTTTTTGCATTATAAATGTTGTAAAAATAAACAAAATAAATATCAGTAATAATATAACATAATTTGGCTTCCTAATGACATATCCTTGTATATTTCAGTGTCGATCATATGGTCAAGAGTGCTGGAAGACAGGAGCCCAGGAGATGAGATGCTGTAATAACATGATGTGCGTTTACAACCAATATTACCAGCTGGTGTGTCAGTAACGACACAGTTGTACCAGATGTGTTTAGCTAATAAAGGAAATGACCAAAGCGAGTATGTTTGTTTTGATTGAATGGTCATTTGGTTTTATAATAATAACGATTTACGGTTTTATGTTTGCCTGTGAACTTATCTCAAAGGCTTACACACATGTGCATTCATATATAGCCCATCTGTGAGAATAATATGCATCGAAATATAAGACGTCAATGCAAGAGAATAACCAGTCTTGATTATCCGCCGAAACACGTTTCATTTGGCGTAAAGGGCCTGTAAATAAACTAGACAACCAAGTGATCTTTAAAATGAAATTATTGCATATGTTTCACACCGTTCGCATAAACGCTGAATCAGTCACTCTCAAAGGATAAAGGATTTAAACAGATTGAAAACTACAAGAACACTGATGACGCAATCGGTCTGTGGTTAAGGCGGGTAGATGCGAAGCAGATGTTTGAAGGAACTGCAGTTTGCCATAAAGAGTTCTCTTCTTTAACCATGTCAGGATTCAGTGGGACGGAAGTAAAAGTGAGATATATTCTACGCCGTTTCAGCATTATTGAAGCACTATCAGAACGTGAGATAACAGCCAATGGCTTCATTTATTGTACCCATGTTGGATATCGATCACAGTTAGACGTTACACTACGCGACCTAATATCCAACTCCGAAATTTAGGTTACATCTAAGACCCGTCTCTCTGAGTGTTTCAGTGAGCTATCACTGTTACATCTTTCGTGAATGTTGGCACTTTTCTCTGTGACATAATGTCCATTTTAACATACGTACATATATTAGTATGTTCCCAGAAGAAAGGCGAGGTTTTCGCACTGAGGGCGTTTAACTGTAATTGAACGTTTATTTTTATCACTTTAAACACAGTAAATAACTGGGTGAAACATTATTAATCTACATTTTGCACAGGATTGAACCTTTTATGTCACATAGCCAAATTACAATAGACCATGTTCTGCAAAGTCGTCTTTCTTATTTTTTAATGTGATCAGTTGAAGTACAAAGACAAAGGTCCATAAAGGCACACACTCGCGTCAAAGCCGTTACAATTATGTGTTTGTGTCACTCCTAGGTAAACATGTACTTGACACTGGAACGGTCAAGCTGTGAACAGTTGCCCAAGGGCGGCTGATGAATAGGCATTAATTAATCCCAAGCTCTGTAGCACCTTAAGCTATAGAAAACTCTCGGCAAATGAATACATGTTCTTAATATTGTCAGCATTGTTTAAACTTACATTATATACATTTTTATACATGAGATATTAAGATGATGCAATAAAATATCATTATATCGTATTAGAAAATTACGGAAATTAAAGTAATCGTACTTTTTCCGTGACATTGTAATCTGATGTTTTATGTTTACAACTTGAATTCTAGTCTGTTAGATACAAACTAAAATGAAGGTCGTTAGTGTGTCCATGTAATGGGATTCTACTAACTTCAATACATCCCCGTTCTTAATCCGGATGACATTGCAAGGAATATTACAGTGTGGATTATTTCAATGCTGACATTTGCATTTATATTTATCTTTATGTATTGAGCCGCATCATTAACAATTAATTTGTTTGTTTGTTTGTTGTTAAACGCCGTACTCAGCAATAATCCAGCTATATGACGGCGGTCTGTAAAATAATCGAGTCTGGACCAGACAATCCACTGACTGACATCATGAACATCAATCCACGCAATTTGGATCGATGACATGTATCAACCAAGTCAGCGAGCCTGACCACCCGACCCTGTTAGTCGCCTTTTACGACAAGCATACTCGCTTTTTACGGCAAGTATGGGTTGCTGAAGACCCTTTCTACCCCGGAATCTCCACGGGTCTAACAATTAGTGTCCAATTAGTATCCATATGTATATGACATATGACACGTGTTTCGTTATACATATATCCAGATCTAGATGTGTTATGTTCTTAGCTTGATCATGAATGATCGTACATAAATGATGCGTACATGTATATGATATGCATGATTTACAGGTGGTATTTTCGAAACGAGTGAAATCCAGTTTATCCAGACGGTACCGTTTCGGACAGTAACTGTCCAGAAAGTCGGATTAACGGGGTCCGAACTAATGGACTTCCGCTAGGGTGGATTCGTCAACATCCACATTTTAATATTCATCTTCTTCTTAAAAATTGGGCTTTCCTCCACATCAGTCTGAAAAACCATGATAAAACTGGAATATTTGCTCAAAGCAGTGTTAAATCCAACTCACACACTCAATCGTTAGTATACATAAGTACACATATACATCTTTATCTATAACTTTATCATCATCATCATCATCATTGTGTAATTAATTTAAAGTCAACATATATCTTCACTGATCTTGGTGTGTTACACTGTCGCAGCAACTGTGGGTGTGTCAGGTAGATGTGATGTGTGACTTATTGTTGTATAACGTGTGATATATACATACATCCGAAACACAAAGAACACCGACTGTGCTATGCTCCATGACAAAGGGTATCGCCTATCAAGAGAAATGAAATACTTCAGCAGCATGTGAGTGCGTCATAAACAATAGATGCATACCAGTTATATAAACCTTATTCGTTATTGGTTCTCCACACTGAGAATCATGGACTTCATGGACGTTTCATCTTCACCCTCATCCCTAATGGACTCGAGTTTGATGGACGCTCTTCATGGGATACAACCTTTGTCAGTCTCGACGCCAACACCGACACCGACACCGTCAAATCCCCTTCAACCTCCACAACCAACCCCGCAACTACCTCAACAACTATCTCCACAACTTCCTCAACGGCAGCCTCATCCTCCGCCTCTTCATCCCAACCTACAGCGACTAGTGGAAACAGTGCTGTGTAGGACCTGTTTTAAAGCGGCGCCGTCAACAAAGATGGACTCAGTGCCTCATTCGGCGCACTACACGTGTATGTACTGTGGGGATATTGAAATGAAGTGTTTCGCTGACAAGCACAATATTTTGTGTGCGGGCATGGCTGTATTCCGGGCATTTGATCTCTGTTGTGACTGTCATCTGTAAATGCTGCGGATTTTTCCTTTTTAGGTCCTTATCAGGGCCGCCCTAACGTCCCAAACGGACACTTGTAAACTCGAAATAAAAATTCATTTTATAACAAATATTCCTTCTATGTATGTTGAATATGTGTTTCTGCTAGATGCTGTCGTGACTCATCTCTATGTTCAAATATGTCGCGACCGTAAGATGCGACAAATGGGATCAGAAGATCTTTGTGATCATGATTACTTGTCATCTTAATCCGACGACGTGGGTCACAGCTCATGTCAATCACAGTCTCGATTATATGCATGCGCTATACCTGTAATATCTATTAGTGCGGCCTTAAACAACGGACTAACAAAACAGACAGACAGTGTTGTTGTTTTACTTCAGGTATTATAAAGGATTTTTTGGAGTGAGTGAGTGAGGTTTGGTCTCATGAGGTGAGGTGAGGGACAGGGTTTCAAGGCATATCATTTTAATTTCCATTCTAAATTTAGATAAATCTAATGAGAGAGGAGGTAACACATGAGATATGTTCAATTTGATATTTGATAGATTTATTCGGAATACAATCAAATGACAAATCAAATGACCGAGTTGGTCGATATGCAGGAACGTGGGTTCGTGATGAAGCATCAGATGCCATCTACTGACACATCATCTTGTTCATGTATCCAGGCATACAGCGGAGTGAACCACAGCATTTCATGGCGTCGATGCCATTAATTTTGCATTCTTCATTTCGGAAACGACACTGTCAAATAGAAACATGATGAATGTGTTATAAACTAATCATATCAAATTTTAAATTCAGTACTTTGCTTGCCAAGTGGTGAGGAGGATGAAAGTATTGAAGACGTTTTAATCCTTCATATAAATCACACATGATTTTTTCTTAAAGAATACTTTTCACAGTGTTGTGTTTGTGTTTTTCTAAGTAATTTTATTTCCAATTTCTGTATACATCGTGTACATAACTATATAAACAATACATGTAACAAAGCAATACCTGGTTCATTTTAAAGCAGTATATACCATGTCTATTAATACTATTTGAGTTTTCTTAAAGAATACTACTTTCAGTGTTCTTTGTATTTTTTTATTTTTTTTTATTTCCGATTTCTGTTTACATCGTGTACATACCTATATAAACAGTACATGTAACAAAACGATATCTGGTTCATTTTAAAGCAGTATATATCGATACTATTTGAGATTTTATATCCTCAATATTACATAAAGCAGCGGGCCATGTCAATATCTCATGTTATTTCTCATTATATATTATATCTAAAATTCAGACATGCTGAATATTTACATTTTTACAATTTGAATAAGAGATCTAGATGATTTGAGTTGCTTTGTAGTGTTTAAGGCTTTCTCTTTAAATCTGCTTAAAATGTGATTTTATTCAATATCTACTTTGCCTGTAATTAATTTGTTTTTTATAATCAAGGTTTAGGCATTAAGTTGATTGTTGTGTTTTCCTTTAAATCCCAATATAATATTTTCCTTTATACAGATTTTCTACCATTATGTGTCCAAACCAACTGGTCATTTCCATTTCCTCACATTTCCTTTACTGAAGAGATATAATTCAAGTTACAGTCTGGAGGAATGTACCATACTGGTACAATGAACATTCAGGTAAGACTGGGACATTATACGGATTTCGGGTTTCTCCCAGGATCTAAAAGACAATACCTGCTTCTTACGGGTTGGGTACAATTGTAATCGTTAGATTCTTGTTATTCACTTACCCCAGCACCACTGCCGGCACTTCTCTTGCATATTCTTGTGTTTCCTATGCCAGACTCACACATCAGGCCATTACAACATGTTTTACCATTCATCACATTGCAGGTTTGTCCCTCTGTCTGGCACTGTAAAATACATACATCTTATTTAATGGCCCCAAACCATACATGTGTATGTCGTATTAGTATGTTTAAGCCTTTAAAATAGACGTCATATGATAATATCAAGGTGATGCCCATCTTAAGAGCAGAGAAAAAATAAACACAATTTAATCCGAAAGCAAAAAATAAATTGTAAACACGATTATGGAAAGCTCTATTAAACAAAACGTTTCATTACTTGCTAATGAAAAGCAGGGATCGGGCATGGTCCTGCTATGAAAGAAGCCGCAAATCGCTGTGCAGAATTGAATTCCTTATACATGCCAGAAACCTATGATCGTGGGTTCGAGTTCCAGATACGCCCCGGCACTTATGACTCTTTGTTTATCAACACCATACCCGTGCACGTAGGTTCTCAAAAAGGTATATTTCTTGGATCGTACCTTCGTCACACATCAAGCAGACAAGCTGTAATATACACTGTAACTACAATATTCTCCAAGCGGCTTCCAACCCAGCCTACTCGACATTACTAATGAAAGTGATGTTTCAGACATTGAATTCTAATAAGAATAAATGTTTAAACTGCCGCTGGACTTAACAGTCAGTTTGATATTATTTAAGACTTACAAATCCATGCGAATCTTGAATTAGAGCGGATGCTACGAGGATTAGAGCAACGCGCACTTTCAGCATCATTGTGATAGAGTAAAACTGGAAAGAAATTCATTGAAGTCATCTGTGATGCAATGTAAACTATCCAACAGTTCATAAAATAAACAACATCACACACACAAATTATATTGGGTTTAATTCTCAAAACACATAATCTATACATAAACTTTCATAAACATTCTAAGTTTAAATCATACTGTTGATGAAAAACAACATATTACCTCAAGTCTTGGGAAATATATAGCAAATGACTTAACCCATCCATTTTGGTGGAGCACTCTAAACTGTTGTGTTAACGAGTTGTGTTTCACATTAATAAATATAATGTTACCTGTTCAGCCGGGCAAATTTGAATGAGATGCCTTTTTGACTTAGCTGACATATTTATACCACTGAGACTCCACACTTACGCAAAGCAAGATAAGGATGATAAATTAGCAGAGCAGGTGTTGCAATTGTTATCTTGGATCCGATGTCAGTCTGTCAGTCACAACCTCCGATAGGATCTGATTCCTACCTACATAGGATAAATAATCTTCATTACAAATAGTTATCTTTAAATGTGATCATTTACATCTGTCATGCTCTTAACGAGCAAGGACAATTAAATGGAACAGAGCGAATACATAACGATTTGAAAAGACATCACAGAATGTACCTGCTGGAAATATTTTCAGATTTTACAAGCGGGTTTATACTGGATTGCAAAACTACAATTTGTTTTCTTCTGTTGATATTTAGTGTAGACAGGGACATTTAAGTCCCAGAAGCAGCATGATCTATAGTAAATTTGGAAGTTTTAGCTAGCACAGTTAAAGTGAGTGAGTGAGTGAGTATGGTTTTACGCCACTTTTAGCAATGTTCCAGCAATATCACGGCGGGGAGACACTCGAAAAACGTTTCACACATTGTAGACATGTCGGGAATCGAACCCGAGTATTTTGGCGTGGCGAGCGAACGTTTTTTACCACGAGGCAAGCCTACCGCCCCAGCAAAGTTAAAACAAACACGAACGTCAATATCGAAAAAGTCCACTATAGGAATATAGAAGAGTGAGTGAGTTTAAAACGTGGATGGAACAATATCGATGCAAAGCATCTTGCATTTGGTAGTGAAAACTCTCCGTACTAGTGGTATGGTACGTTCCCAAGAAGTAAACCCGACACCGTTTAATTTTAAAGCTCCAATAGAATATATTTTGAGCATGCTTCAAACAAAAGAGGATGCATCTTTTGAGAGTTTTTAATGTGAGGGATTAAATTCATGCAAGGAGAACTTACATTTCCCAGCAAGCTTTTCTTGTAGACATTACAAAAACGTTAAAAGCGTGATCTTGAAATATATCTGACGTTCAACCATAGTGACCACATTTATTGTTTTTAAAAGTTGGAACGAAACCCATCACAAATCAACCATGGATGTTTAATCAAGATGTAATCTAAAAAGAAACTGATGAATTTGCATTTGGACAGTGATTTCATAACAAATGGAAAATAGTTTTAGATGATTGTGTTTTTCGGTGCAATCAGAATGGAGAAGATTTACAGTGTTTGATAGATATTTTACAGACGCTCCATCCACGTTTTACTTTTACTTCAGAGATGAACGATGAAAGTCTTTCTTTTCTTGATGTAATAGTTACAATATCGAACAATAAGATTGACAGAGATGCACATTACAAACCAACCGAGTCCAAACAATACTGCAATTCCTTTCACCTTCTCATTCAGTGTCCCTTATTCATCAGCACGTAGAATCTGCGCGATATAGACTCAATAAACTGGGGTAATTCCTTTCAGAAAGAAACTACACTGGACAATAGTAGAAGATGTCACAAACAAGGCTAAATCACAAAACCGTTGTGATCTTCTTAAAGAGTAAGATATTCAAAACGGGAGTGTTCTCCCTTTTGTTACAACCTTTAATCCCCCAACCCGGAAATATTTTGAAATGTTCGGGAGACACTGTTTTCGTTAAACACGTGTAAAGAACTGAAACAAATAAATAAACTTATAAATGGTAAAAAACAGAGCAGTCGTCTTGAAAGGATTCTTACTAGGGCTTCTTTCTTACGAGGAAAACAATAATGTAAAACAGTACAAAAGTGTAACAGACCTAATTACTTTCCCTCATGTTGTTGAATGTATTTCTTTAACATTCAAAGACGGAAAACCGTTCTGTTTCAGTGAAAATATGAATTGTACTTCCCCAAAATTGATCTATGCCATACAATGTGTCGGATGCGAATCCAAATACATTGGACAGAATGGGAGGGAGAATCCATCGACTACAAATACGGGCATCTGATGAAACTTCAGAATATTCAGGATGAGAATACTACCGTGATTGTGGGGACTATTGATTCAGTCAACAAGAGGCATAACTTTGTGACTGGTGCCACTTGTGGGGCAGGATACGCTTACCTTTTCGCCAACACCTGCTATCATCACTATTTGACAGCGTTTCATTAACACATGCTCACGATATAGTCGGAATCGTAAAGTCGACTCATATTTTGGCAGATAAGTCTCATGAACATGGAAAGGCTTTTGTCGATTTTAATTTTTGAACACACGTATATTGAAAAATATATAACACAGACCACTTGCAAAATAATCGGAAGATGAGAAAAATACTGTACATACATGTATGTGGTGAATATTCAATCAGATTCGACCAAAGAGCAAAACACACCCTCATTTTTTTGTTATTCCTTTACCACACTTCAAGCACAATGAAGCATCAACGACACATGCCATGTGAATCTTGATAACATATCAGCATCTACAGCTGATCAAAGTAACGTCACATGTCAGATCGCCGTCAGATCATTAACTGTTCCAACAGATCTCTGATATTAAATGCAACACATTTTCTGCGTATTATTGAATATGCAGTTCGGGAAATGTTATCGATCAACGGGTATAAATACATGTAATGCTGGGCACTGTATATTCTCAATTCGATCTTACAGTTGAACAGGTATGTACATGTATGCATAACGAGTGAGTTGAACTTTACGGCGCTAGGAACAGTAAACTAGTTTTATCACAGCTTGTCAGCTTAATCGTGAAGGAAAGCTCGCAGGGATGCAGGCTTTAGACGTTAACAACTTTGATGAAAACCAAGGGCACGGGCATGGTGCTAAGAAACCAAGTCATAATCTGTGATTTGAAGCCACGATAAACATATTCTGCACGGCTAAGAGAAGCAACTCTGCACAATTGCGGCGTCTCAGACGACAGAAACAACCATACTTAGTTCCAATATATATCATTACAATTCATCATGAGGATAATATTTTGTGTATCTTCACATTGTTTTTCAGTATTGTTTAACATAATGGTGTCATTACTACAAGTACATCTGTGTTCACACAATACTAAAGTTGTACATATGAAGTACTGAGCATTGTTTAGAAGTATTAGGATTTCATATGCATCACCTTCTGTTTGCTTCCAGGTGTACCCTATCATTACAATGATGTTCAAAGTGTGTCTTGCTTTGCTCTTTGTGGTATCTGTACTGGGTCAAGACCTCTTTGCGGCAGGGTTTGGAGTAAGTGCTGTCATATCACTTAATCTTCATTTATGATACATGAATACTATCACTATATATGTGATCAAAAGCTGCTTTTGCAATCAGTTGATTCTTTTAAATTTCCTTCATGTTTTAAAAGACAAAAGGAACCGAAAATCATATACCACATCACGTCTTATGCTCCATGGTCCATAAACAATATAGTCTAATATCGTGATCCAGCAATCCCTTGTTCTGTTATAAATCATTTTCAAATGTTTATTTACAATCGTGTCCCCCTGTATATTAATGCCATTACTTTAGTCATTTGCCCATGTGATTATTGGCATACATCACAATACGGCAATGATTCTAATTCTGCATGAATATGCCCCATGTTTTACTGTATTTTTCGTGAAATGTAAAAGGAGAAATATTATTGGCATGTTTATCCTACGACTGTTTTATATGTCCATAGATAAACAGTGTTGCTGAATTATAAATAATAGCAACAAATGTAACATATTGTTGGGTTACACGCTACAAATGCAAAACCTACTTCATTTTGTTCATGCAGTGTCAGAACGAGGGGCAAACATGCAATTGGATGAATGGTAACACCTGCTGCAATGGCTTGACGTGTCAGTCGGGTTTGGGTAACATTCAAATATGCAAGAGGAACATTGGCGGCGGTATTGGTGGCGGTATTGGCGGCGGTATGGGGGTAAGTGACCGTGCCAGACATCGCCTACTGCCATGGGATAAAATATTAAATTAGGAAATGTAGCTCTTTTCTATATCCATGTAAATGTAACTGAATAAATGTTCCCTTTAAACAAGGATTTTGAATGATGACAAGTGGTCCGGACTGAAAGAATATTGGTGGAATATTTTACATGTATTACTCTCTTTACATGTGATTGGTGGCAAATTAGTATAATTCATGTGCCATTTCCACCTACATAACATATGTCCAAAGAAATGAGCATTGCCATTACATGCTCGACAGCTTACATGTACAATGCAGTTACAATAGAGTTCTTTCAGAAGCATCGTTTCATGGGCTTTCCAATTCAAATTCTTAAACATGATTATTTTGACTATCAGCTAATGCCTGTCGTATCACACAAAATATGTTTTGTAATACTTGGTGCAATATTGCTATTGGTGTACGCAGATGATAATTTCATGTGGATGTGTAAATGCATTCGTCTCTATTTTACAGTGTCGCCTCCGTAACGACGAATGCAAGATTAACGGCATCAGTGCCATGAGATGTTGTGCATCCCTTCGCTGTATGCCTGGATACATGAACAGGATGACTTGTCAGTAGATGTAAACTGATACTTTGACATCTCTCTATAGCTTGATGTGTGTGCACAAATTGCTTGACAATAAAAGTGATTTCAAACATTTTACATTTGTTTTTGTTGCCCAATGTATATTGCAGTTGCTGCTGACTGAATATATATCATGCTTAGGGGACATGATCGGACTTTCCTCCCATATCAAGCTGACACAGAATTATATGTAACTGGCCTAAAAGCAAATTCATTCTCTTAATCACTGCAGATGAGATATGTTACTCATTATTGCATTGTAATATTGACTTTTGTTCAACGAACTTTATTGTAAAACAGTTCAACATATATACATCAAAAGCTTATTGCCCCAACAAAAAGGTAATTTGGACACAATGAACTAAATATCTTATAAAATAATTCTGTTTTAGCACTTGTGTTCTATTGGACAGAAAATGCGTTTGAAGGAAAGGAGAAAAAATCCACTTCAAATTCTCCAAATTAATGTTTGGGTTATAGTTATTGACAGTCGTCAGTTGTTATTTTCAATTCACAGTCACCAAAACGCATTCCAAGAGACGAAACATGTAAGGTATCAGTTTCGTTTTGATACCAACACACATTAAAACGGCATCAAGATACCCTAGCCAGCCTTGACATTTATGAGAAGATTAAGTTGTAAAATCCATAGCATCGTAATTATGAAAATAAAAGCGCAACACCCTTCCATATTCATAAGAAATCTCCGCCAAGAACAGAGGCGATTTTACGCATTACGTGTTTTTAGCATTGCAACATATATTTGATCTATTGTATTGCCTTTCATGATTAAGTATTCGAGGAATTTCACCGACCACAGTCGGACCTAATCAAAATCAACACTACAATAAGGAAAATAAAACATCCATTCAACAGTCATAAATTGCAGGAACTTAAAATTGATGTTTCCCTAGCTATGTCACAAACTGACGTTCAACTTTCAAACCAAATCGGCAATGTATATAATTATATGATCATTGAGTTACCTTTGATTTTAGTACTTCAGAGGAGAAATTATTAAATAACGAGGTATAGTAAGGAAATCTACTTAATTTATGAAATGATCTGAAATTTTAAAATTGTTTTGAAAGTTATCAGATGTGTTCATATTGTCCTTTTTAACATTTTAGCATTTTATGGCCTTAAAGCAACAGGGAGTGTGGTGATAGGCTGTCATGAAGTGTTATTCTGATATTTGAACATGGACATGTGATTGCATGGCTGACAGGTTTTTAAATAGTATTATTAAATAACATATTGACAGGGTGACTTTTAATTCACTCACTCCAAACTGAAAAAGAAAGTATTTTGGATCACGACCTTGCTCACAGTTATACTTTTCTTGTGAAGTGTAATAAATCATCGCTGTCTTTTTCCTTTTAGCCATAGTTATCTACCTCATCATATCCTAAACTTATAGCTTAAGAAATAAAAAAAGGACATTTATCAGTCACATGTACATATCCGATAACGTTTATGTCAATATTTACAATACTACGGTAGCATAAAAAAATCACATTTCCAGTGAGTCAAACAGGGCCGTTTCCATGTAAAAGATATTCACACGTTACGGAAATCTCAGGTTGTATTTGCTACCTTTTAAATGCAGTATCCTCATGATTCAACGGGTGTTTATTGTTGACAGTATTCTTGTAATTCGCTTTCCGAAATACCACCTCCGGCCTTTCTCTTGCATATTCTTGTGTTTCCTGTATCCGACTCCCACATGAGACCATTACAGCATGTTACACCGTTCATGTTCATTGCCCTTCTGTCTGGCACTGTGCAATTACATAATGAGCAATAAACATAGAGATGATATGGAAAATCATACTCCATACTGATGATCGGGGTTATTTCGGAACCACACTCAAAAGAAAGTTAAATGGAAATCACTATGTTGACAGATGAACCAAGGATACACACATGGACACAATTCCTTATTTTTTTACAGTAAATATAAATTGATGTTTGACTTACAAAACCATGCCCATGCGCATCTTGAACAAGAGCTGACGCGATAAAGACTACGGCAATGCACACGTTCAACATATAATTGTAGGAATGGAGTATACGGAAAATAATCTAAAAAGTCCGTATACAGAATAATATTTGACATGTTCTGATGTCAAGAGTCATGTTACTTCCAATACAATTACATTAATCCTGTTTCACAAAAATCTACAAAATTACTCCAATCCTACTCGAGACAAATGGTGCATCTCGCGTCAAGGATCTATAACGTCACACGTGATGAGTTAATGAGCATCAATACACATAATATACCAGTACATTCGTTTGTGCATTTAACCAATCTAATATCTCTTGAATATGAGTAAGTCGTCACAAGTCATGTAAACATACATGTATGGTATTCGCGTGTCTATTGGCGGTGAGCATATATATTTCTTTAACAAACAGAGATGCTTCATACATCAAACAAACATACAGATGCCTGATCAACCGAAGGCTAAATTGCATACCATCGCCAGCAGCTGAAGAGATGGTGAAAATCCTACTGGGGCACCGTGCAGTTAGCCGGGTTATCGTAAGCCAACCATCGGCCCATGTGTGTAGGCCCAACTTCGGCTGCTGTTGATCTACAGCCTATTTTCATAATGTCTTGTTACGTACTGCGATATCTTTTTATGGTAACATACTAGTTTTAAACAAATATGTGATATAAATCTAGTTATATTGCTGTCTTTTGTTGACACCAGAAATGCCCAGATAATGTTTCAACTCTTGTCAGTACCATACCAGTGATCGCGGATATAACCAAAGTAACACATGCATTATTATTGCTAAAGATTATCTACAACACAAACCGGACACGCCGTACATATCCACACTGATGCCGTTTACAGAAATATCAACAAACATTTCATTTAATGCGTAAATTAACATTTCGTAGAGTTATCGAGAGTTTATTGTCTCTTTTTATCGTTGTTTTGTTGAAAGTGTTTTAATTAACGTTTTCTCCTCAGTGCTGGTATGGACTCCTTCTGTTCAAAACCAATCACGCTGGACCAGATTGATTTAGCAGCGGATAAAATAGCTGGTGTGCCATTTGATAGTTTAGATAATTTACACGAAAAGCATGTTTTAAAAAATCATTGAAAATTGTAGCTGACCCCGACCATTATAAACAAAGAGTAACTATGTATTTCTACCTTCTGACCGGCGATATTTATTGTCACGTTTTTAAAAAATGCAGGGCTATTAGCTCTTTCATCCGATCAAGAATCCGTCTCTTAAATGACTACTAAGTTCTGAACTATTTTAGTCTTTTTGTTTTGTACAAAGAATTAGATTGCGTGTAATAAATCATTGTCACGGTCATTGTCATTGAAAAAGTGAATACTGATAGAAGTTGCTCAACCAAACTTGCTTACAGACTTGCTTTTATAGTTGCCTCAGTCATTTAGTCAATTTAGATCAATCTAATGAGAGAAGAAAGAACACATGAGATATGTTCAATTTGATATTTGATAGATTTATTCGGAATACAATCAAATGACAAATCAAATGACCGAGTTGGTCGATATGCAGGAACGTGGGTTCGTGATGAAGCATCAGATGCCATCTACTGACACATCATCTTGTTCATGTATCCAGGCATACAGCGGAGTGAGCCACAGCATTTCATGGCTTCGATACCATTTATTTTGCACTCTTCATTTCGGAGGCGACACTGTCAAATAGAGAACATGAATGTGTTATAAACTAATCATGTCAATTTGGCGTTATTGGCATTATGCTGACATAAAGCAATGCATGCACATAAGGCCAAATATGGACAATGATTTGTGAATGAAAATTTAACTAAAGTAACCAAAACGTTTTAATTCTTCATATTAATCACACATTACTTTTTTTAAAGAATACTACTTACAGTGTTGTTTGTATAAACAGTAATGTAACAAAACGACATCTGGTTCATTTTAAAGCAGTATATATCGATACTATTTGAGTTTTATATCCTCAATATTACATAATGCAGCAGACCAAGTCACTATTTCATAGTATTTCTCATTATATATTATATATAAAATTCAGACATGCTGAATATTCACATCACAAGTTAAGGCATTAAGTGGATTGTTGTGTTTTCCTTTAAATCCCAATAAATATTTTCCTTTGTACATATTTCCTACCATTATATATCCAAGCCAACAGATCATTTCCATTTCCTTCCATATCATTACAGACTGACATATCTCGTCAAGAGATATAATTCAAGTTACAGTCTGGAGGAATGTACCATACTGGTACAATGAAACTTCAAGTAAGACTGGGGATATAATACGGATTCCGGTTTTCTCTCAACACCTAAAAGACAATACTTGCTTCTTACGGGTTGGGTTCAATTTCAGATTCGTGTTATTCCCTTACCCCAGCACCACTGCCGGCACTTCTCTTGCATATTCTTGTGTTTCCTATGCCAGACTCACACATCAGGCCATTACAGCATGTTTTACCATTCATCACATTGCAGGTTTGTCCCTCTGTCTGGCACTGTAAAATAGAATACCTCTTATATTGTGGTCCCAAACCATATGTCGTGTTAGTGTGAATTAGCCTCAAAATAGACGTCATACGATAATATGCCATGCCCATCAAAACAGCAAAGAAAGTATAAACGTAATTTAAATAAAGCCAAACACCCTGTAAACACGATTATGGAAAGCTCTATTAAACAAAACGTTTCATTACTTGCTAAGGAAAAGCAGGGGTCAGGCATGGTCCTGCTATGTAAGAAGCCGCAAATCGCTGTGCAGAATTGAGTTCCTTATTCATGCCACAAACCTATGATCGTGGGTTCGAGTTCCAGATCAATTATGACTCTTCGTTTATCAACACCAACCCGTGCACGTAGGTAAATGTCTTGCATATGCAATTGTACCAACCTCATGCATCAAGCAGACATGCTGTAATACACACTGTAACTAAAATATTCTTCCAAGCGGCTTTCAACCCATGTTACTCGACACTACTAATTTTAATAAGAATAAATGTTTAAACTCAAACAGTCAGTTTGATATTATTTGAGACTTACAAATCCATGCGAATCTTGAATCAGAGCGGATGCTACAAGGATTAGAGCAACGCACACTTTCAGCATCATTGTGATAGAGTAAAACTGAAAAGAAATTAATTGAAGTCAACTATCCAACCGTTCATAAAAAAATACCACACACAAATTATATTGGGTTTAATTTTCAAAAAACATAATCTATACATAAACCTTCATAAACATTCTAAGTTTAAATTATACTGTTAATGTAGATTAAGTCTGTTATAACATTTGTGAAAAACTACATATATAATAAATGACTTAACCCATGAATCACTATAACCATTTTGGTAGATCACTCTAAACTGTTGAGTTAGCGAGTTGTGATTCACATTAAAGAATATAATGTTACCTCTTCAGCCAAGCAAATTGGAATGAAATGCCTATTTAACTCAGCTGACATATTTATACCACTGAGATTCCACACTTAACCAAAGCAAGATAAAGATGATAAATTAGCAGAGCAGGTGTTGCAATTGTTATCTTGGATCCAATGTCAGTCTGTCAGTCACAACCTCTGATTGGATCCGATTCCTACCTGCATAGGATAAATAATCTTCCTCACAAATGGTTATCTTTACATGTGATCATTTACTCCTGTCATGCTCTTAACGAGCAAGGACAATTAAATGGAACAGAGCGAATCAATAACGATTTGAAACGACGTCACAGAATGTACCTGTTGGAAATATTTTAAGGTTTTACAAGCGGCCTTATACTGGATTGCAAAACTACAGTTTGTTTCCTTCTGTTGATATTTAGCGTATACAGGGACATTTAAGTCCCCAAACCAGCATGATCTATAGTACATTTGGAAGTTTTAGCTAGAAAAGTTAAAGTGAGTGAGTGAGTATGGTTTTACGCCGCTTTTAGCAATATTCCAGCAATATCACGGCGGGGGATACTCGAAATACGTTTCACACATTATATACATGTCAGGAATCGAACCTGACTCTTTTGGCGTGACGAGCGAACGCTTTTACCACGAAGCTAGCCGACTGCCCAGTCAAGTTAAAACATACACGAACGGTCATATCGAAAAGTACTCTTAAGTCCACTATAAGAATATAGAAGAGTGAGTTTAAAACGTGGATTTATAAGGAGCAACAATATCAATGCAAAGCATCTTGCATTTGAAAGTGAAAACTCTGCAGTACTAGTGTTATGGTACGTTTACAAGAAGTAAACCCGACGTTTAATTTTAAAGCTCCAATAGAATACATTTTGAGCATGCTTAAAACAAAAGAAGATGCATCGTTGGAGAGCTTTTTTGTGAGATATTAGATTCATGCAAGGAGAACTTACATTTCTTTGCAAGCTTTTCTTGTAGATATTACGAAAACGTAAAAAAGCGTGATCTTGAAATACATCTGACCATCAACCACAGTGACCACAGTTATTGTTTTTTTTAAAGTTGGAATGATACCCATCACAAATCAACCATGGGTGTTTAATCAACATGTAATATTAAAAAAACTGAATTATACGTGTGCATTTGCACAGGGATTTCAAAACAAATGCAAAATATTTTAGATGATTATTTTGCTCTATGTTATCAGAGTAAAGAAGAGTTACAGTGATTGATAGATATTTTACAGACGCTCCATCCAAATTTTACTTTTACTTTAGATTGGTTGGTTGGTTGGTTGTTTAACGCCGCACTCAGCAATATTCCAGCTATATGACGGCGTTCTGTAAATAATCAAGTGACTAATATCACGAGCATCGATCCACGCACTTTGGATCGATGACATGCATCAAAGAGGTCAGCGAGCCTAACCACCCGATCCCGTTAGTCGCCTTTTACGACAAGCATAAGTCACCTTTTACGGCAAGCATGGGTGGCTGAAGACCTATTCTACCCCGGAATCTTCACATGTCCTTTTACGTTAGAGATGAACGATCAAAGTCTTTCTTTTCTTGATGTTATAGTTACAATATCAAACAATAAGATTAACGCAGATGTATATTACATACCAACCGATTCTAAACAATACTGCAATTACAATTCCTTTCACCCTCTCATTCGAAAAAAACAGTGTCCCTTACTCATTAGCACGTAGAACCTGCGCGATATAGACTCAATGAACTGAGGTAATTCCTTTTAGAAAGAAACTACACTGGAAAAATAGTAGAAGATGTCACAAACAAGGCTAAATCACAAGACCATTGTGATCTTCTTAAAGAGTAAGATATTCAAAACGGGAGTGTTCTCCCTTTTGTTACAACCTTTAATAACCCAAACCCGGAAATACTTTGAAATGTTCGGGAGACACTGTTTTCTTTAAACAAGTGTAAAGAACTAAAACAAATAAATAAACTTATTAAAGGTAAAAGACAGAGCAGTCGTCTTGAAAGGATTCTTACTAGCGCTTCTTTCTTACGAGGAAAACAATAATGTAAAACAGTACAAAAGTGTCACAGACCTACATGTAATTGTGGTACTTTCCCTCATGTTGTTGAATGTATTTCTTTTACATTCAAAGACGGGAAACCGTTCTTTTTCTGTGAAAATATGAATTGTATTTCCCAAAAATTGATCTATGCCATACAATGTGTCGGATGCGAAGCCAAATACATTGGACAGAATGACAGAGTGAGAGTCCATCGACGACAAATACGGGCATCTGATGAAACTTCAGAATATTCAGGATGGGAATACTACCGTGATTTTGGTGACTACTGATTCAGTTAACAAGAGGCAAAACTTTGTGACTGGTGGCACTTGTGGGGCAGGATACGCTTACCTTTTCGCCAACACCTGCTATCATAACTATTTGACAGCGTTTCATTAACACATGCTCACGATAAAGTCGACTCATATTTTGGCAGATAAGTCTTATGAACATGGAAAGACTTTTGTCGATTTTAATTTTTGAACACACGTATATTGAAAAAAATATATAACACAGACCACTTGCAAAATAATCGGAAGATGCGAAAAATACTGTACATACATGTATGTGGTGAATATTCAATCAGATTCGACCAAAGAGAAAAACACACCCTCATTTTTTCTGATTCCCTTACCACCCTTCAAGCACAATGAAGCGTCAACGACACATGCCATGTGAATCTTGATAACATATCAGCATCTACAGCTGATCAAAGTAACGTCACATGTTGCCGTCAGATCATTAACTGTTCCAACTGATCTGTGATATGAAATGAAACACATTTCCTGCGTATTATTGTATATACAGTTCAGGAAATGTTCTCTATCAACGGGTATAAATACATATAATGCTGGGCACTGTATATTCTCAATTCGATCTTACAGTTGAACAGGTATGTACATGTATGCATAACGAGTGAGTTGAACTTTACGGCGCTTTGTACAGTAAAATAGTTTTATCACAGCGTGTCAGCCTAATGGTGAAGGAAAGCTCGCAGGGATGCAGGCTTTAGATGTTTACAGCTTTGATGAAAACCAAGGGCACGGGCATGGTGCTGAGAAACCAAGTCATAATCTGTGATTTGAAGCCACGATAAACATATTCTGCACGGCTAAGAGAAGCAGCACTGTACAAGTGCGGCGTCTTAGACGACAGAAACAACCATACTTAGTTCCAATATATATCATTACTATTCATATAGTTCCAATATATAGCATTACTATTCATCATGAGGATAATATTTTGTGTATCTTCACATTGTTTTTCAGTATTGTTTAACATAAATGGTGTAATTACTACAAGTACCTCTGTGTTCACACCATACTTAAGTTGTACATATGAAGTAACGAGCATTCTTCAGAAGTATTAGGATTTCAAATGCATCGCCTTCTGTTTGCTTCCAGGTGTACCCTTTTATTACAATGATGTTCAAAGTGTGTCTTGCTTTGCTGTTTGTGGTATCAGTACTGGGTCAAGATCTCTTTGCGGCAGGGTTTGGTGTAAGTGCTGTCATATCACTTAATCTTCATTTATGAAACATGTATACTATCTCTCCGTGGGGAAATATGTGATCAAAAGCTGCTTTTGCAATCAGTTGATACTTTTAAATTTCCTTCATGTTTTAAAAGACAAAAGGAACCGAAAGTCATATACCACATCCCGTCTTATGCTCCATGGTCCATAAATAAGATAGTCTAATATCGTGATCCAGCTATCACGTGTTCTGTTATAAATCATATTCAAATGTTTATTTACAATCGTGTCCCCCTGTATATTAATGTCATTACTTTAGTCATTTGCCCATTTGATAATTGGCATGCATCACAATGCAGCAATGATACTAATTCTGCCCCATGTTTTACTGTATTTTTCGTGAAATGTAAAAGGAGAAATATTAATAGAATGTATATCCTAGCACTGTTTATATGTCCATAGTTTAACAGAGTTGCTGAATTATAAATAGTAGCAACAAATGTGACATATTGTTGAGTTACACGCTACAAACTTACTTCATCTGTTCATGCAGTGTCAGAACGAGGGGCAAACATGTAATTGGATGAATGGTAACACCTGCTGCAATGGCTTGACGTGTCAGTCCGGTTTGGGTAACATTCAAATGTGCAAGAGGAACATTGGCGGCGGTAGTGGTGGCGGTATTGGCGGCGGTATGGGGGTAAGTAACCGTGCCAGACATTGACTTCTGCCATGGGATAAGACATTAAATTAGGAAATGTAGCACTGTACTATATCCATGTAAATGTAACTATACAAATGTTCCCTTTAAACAAGGATTTTGAATGATGACAAGTGGTCTGGGCTGAAAGAATATTGGTGGAATATTCAACATGTATTACTCTCTTTACATGTGATTGGATGAAAATTAGTATATGTGTCATTTCCACCTACATAACATACGTCAAAAGAAATGAGCATTGCCAGCACATGCTCGATATCATACATGTACAATGCAGTTACTATAGTTATTTCAGAAGCATCTATTCATGGGCTTTCCAATTCATATTCTCAAACATGATTATTTTGACTATCAGCTAATGCCTGTCGTATCACACGAAATGTGATTTGTGATACTCAGGGCAATATTATTGTTGGTGCACGCAGATGATACATTTCACGTGGATGTGTAAATGTATTCTTCTATATTTTACAGTGTCGCCTGCGTAACGACGAATGCAAGATTAACGGCATCAGTGCCATGAGATGCTGTGCATCCCTCCGCTGTATGCCTGGATACATGAACAGGATGACTTGTCAGTAGATGTAAACTGATACTTTGACATCCCTCGATAGCTTGATATGTGCGCACTAATTGCTTGACAATAAAAGTGATTTCAAACATTTTACATTTGTTTTTGTTGCCCAATGTATATTGCAGTTGCTGCTGACTGAATATATATCATGCTTAGTGGACATGATCGGACTTTCCTCCATATCATGCTGACACGGCGTTATATGTAACTGCCTTATAGCAAGTTCTTTCTCTTAATCACTGAAGATGAGATATGTTACTCATTATTGCATTGTAATACTGACTTTTGTTCAACGAACTATATTGTAAAACAGTTCAACATATTTATACATCAAAAGCTTATTGCCCAACAAAAAGGTTATTTTGGACACAACTAACTAAATATCTTCTAAAATATTTCTGTTTTAGCACTTGTGTTGTATTGCACAGAAAATGCGTTTGAAGGAAAGGTGAAAAAATCCACTTCAAATTCTCCCAAGCAATGAAAGTCGTCAGTTGTTATTTTCAATTCACAGTCACCAATACGCATTCCAAGAGACGAAACATGTAAGGTGTCAGTTTCGTTTTGATACCAACATACATTAAAACGGCATCAAGATACCCTAGTCAGCCTTGACATTTATGAGGAGATTAAGTTGTAAAACCCTTACATCGTAATTATGAAAATAAAAGCGCAACACCCTTCCTTGTATTCATAAGCAATCTCCGCCAAGAACAGAGGCGATTTTATGAATCCAACTATATTATGAGATTTCAGTTAGAAAGTAATATGAACACACGTCAACATTTGTACAGTTAATGTATGGTCTTATTATTATGCAAAACTGAACGATTGTCTTCGTCGAGGTTGTTGTAAATTAAAAGACACACTTTTATCAAGATGTATTACACAATCAAAATCAGTCAGTATTAAAAAAATATATAATAAATTCATGTTTTCTACAAAAGTCTTTCTAGTCATGCTTTGGGGATGTTTTAGACATTAATGAATTATATACATATTGAGATTGGATTAACAAATATCATATGTGTATTACGTCAGTGTACGTTCCTAATTTGAACTCTTACCATTGTTTTCTCTTGTTAAACAACCATTTTGCCAATATAAACATCCCTCATCATCATATACCCCTGATGAAGCCTCGGTATAATATATATGTCGAATCTATTTGTAAAATTTAAGCCAAAAGCTATTGTTCTGAAACAGTGAAAATTGTATTTTGTATTTGGTATTGCAACTGCAATTTATGATGGTTATTATTGACAGCAATTTATTGAGGCGCTCATAAAAGGCGAATAGTAATGCTCTCTTTTCCTTTGGTGATACCCCCACCTGTGTGCGATTGTGTTAAGGTGGTACCCCATATATAGACTTTTCTACCTGTTTTCATCACTCCTACTCCTGGATTCAAGCATCAAAGCAGTCCAAAATTGCAGCGACATGTTCTTTAGCATTGCAACATATATTTCATGATTTTATGATTAAGTATTCGAGGAATTTCACCGACCACAGTCGGACCTAAACAAAATCAACACTACAATAAGGAAAATAAAACATCCATTCAACAGTCATAAATTGCAGGAACTTAAAATTGATGTTTCCCTAGCTATGTCAAAAACTGACGTTCAACTTTCAAACCAAATCGGCAATGTATATAATTATATGATCATTGAGTTACCTTTGATTTTAGTACTTCAGAGGAGAAATTATTAAATAACGAGGTATAGTAAGGAAATCTACATAATTTATGAAATGATCTGAAATTTAAAAATTGTTTTGAAAGTTATCAGATGTGTTCATATTTATGATACAGAGTCATTGTCCTTTTTAACATTTTAGCATTGTATGGCCTTAAAGCAACAGGGAGTGTGGTGATAGGCTGTCATGAAGTGCTATTCTGATATTTGAATATGGACATTTGATTGCATGGCTGAAAGGTTTTTAATTAGTATTATTGAATAACTTGTGCTTGTCACACTATGGCTAACATATGGCCAGGGTGAATTTTAATTCACTCACTCCAAACTGAAAAAGAAAGTATTTTGGATCACGACCTTGCTCACAGTTGGACTTTTCTTGTGAAGTGTGATAAATCATCGCTGTCTTTTTCCTTTTAGCCATAGTTATCTACCTCATCATATCCTAAACTTGTAGCTTAAGAACTAAAAAAGGACATTTATCAGTCACATGTACATATCCGATAACGTTTATGTCAATATTTACAATACTACGGTAGCATCAAAAATTCACATTTCCAGTGAGCCAAACAGGGTTGATTCCATGCAAAAGACATTCATACGTTACGGAAATCTCAGGTTGTATTTGCTACCCTTAAAAAGCAGTATCATGAGCATCAATACATACAATATACCAGTACATTCGTTTGTGCATTTAACCAATATAATATCTCTTGAATATGAGTAAGTCTTCACATGTAAACAAACATGTATGGTATTCGCGTGTCTATTGGCGATGAGCATATATATTTCTGTAACAAACAGAGATGCTTCATACATTACACAAACATACAGATACCTGATCAACCGAAGGAAACTGGAATGACGGTATTTTGTTAACTGGAAGCAGCCCTTTCATACGTTACACAATCCAAGACGAGGAGCAATTAACATGCCACGTGTGACATATCTAATCTGATTCCGGACAGTCACCACGATATGGTTTCATTCAAACTTATCGCGATCATTTATGATAATTAGGTACGCCAGTTAGGGCTATCACTACTAAAATCATTTTCTCTCTCTCACTGTCTCGCTGGTCATAAATCGAAGTAATGACACTAAATGAGGACCTACATGTTACAAAAACTGTTACGTTTGTTGTTTAGCTCCACGCTCAGGAATATTCCATCAATGTGACGGGCCCGACAGGAACTCTAATATACAGCTGGGTAGTATATAATATATAGCTGAAATATTGCTAAATGCGGTGTTAAGAAATTAAAAAAACAAATACGTAGTGTGCTCAAACCCAATTACAAATAAATACACATTCAACTACACATACACAGACGATCTTCCGATGACATGAGTGAGTGATCTTATCTCGAGTTCATAAAAGGCATGACAAGGCATTAATTGCATGTCATCTTCATAATATGAGGATAAGCATATATAGACGCCTTTTCTAAAACCGAGTCATTTACTTAATACACTCTATATGATAGTAAGGAAAATGAACTCATGACATCACTATATATATGGTTCCTATTTAGGCCAATTAACTGTAATTAAACTTTACAAATCTTTGCATAACGATAAGTCTAATTCTTTTAGCTTAACATTTATGGAGCAGGGTCAGAAAAGACGTAAAAAATTCTGCCCTCAAATTGTTTGATGGGCATTACTTAGAATTTGACGGATGACACAATTTATGGACAACAACTTCTTTAATTACTGTAAAGGCGACGTTTCGAAATAGATCTTTATACCGTTGTCTATGAAGACGATTGAAACATTACCTTTACCAAGAGCTATATTAAAATTCGAAACTACAAAAACTGATCAGAAGTGTACATGTGGAGCAGCGTTTAGCTCTCGTGTATACGTCTATGTTTCGAGGAGGGCATATATGTTACGTCGACGTGAATTCCAACATGAAACGCTAAGGTTAACCCAGAAATATGCGCTTACATAAATAAATTGTCAAATCAGTATATGAGCACCCACGATCAATGAATATCAGTAAAGTATTTTGAAGCACACAGAGTTAGGTTTACAATAAAACAAGTCAAGCCAATGGATGCAATAGGTGACAGAAGCAACAAATAACGTTTGATTGATGTTAGCGCAATGACGAATGTTCAGAATTTTCAATTGTCGAATGTCTTGGAACAAATCTCCGTTCTTGAATCCAGAATACTGTTGGAGACTAGTGGGAATTCGGTGTTTATAAAAAAGGTGTCCAGACACGACTTTACAAGTAAATGTAAACATTACTCAAGTCCGCTCGAAAAGGCATCCAATCGCCCACTTCTCATATAAGAATACTTCTCACATCCAGCCTCCTTCTAGAAACTGCCCCATCCCACACCTTTCGATCGACTAAGTCTACCATGCACAAGGTCAGATAATTCTAAGAGGAGTTATTTTAAATAAATACTCTGGAAAGATCCACTCCTTGATGTTGTCTGTGGTTCAACTCCGTCCACGACAGCACTTGTTGTGTTTTACTTTTAATATGTTCCTGCCATTGAAAATTACTTCGATTTCATTTTCACTAAAAGTGCTTACAAATTACACAGTCCTTAAGAGTCTGCATGACCACCTCCGAAATCTGCGAGTATACGGTCCCTTAAAAATATTTACATGTAGATTTACAGTTGATTTCCGCCACTGTCATTGGAATCAGGACTCTCCCATCCGGGTTACCTGATAGCTGTTCCATT